AGCCTCTTGCGTGAGGCACCTGTGCTGACTTCACAGAACTTGGGTTCCTTCTTAAATTCCACTAAGGCTGGGGTTGAACGTCCCTTTGCTCACCTACATACATATAAATGAGAGTGAGCTAACGCCTAGTGAATAATATCAAAATAAAGAGGTTAATGAATGAGATTCATTTATAAATGAATCATACTTATAATGTATATATTTGAACCACTATTCTCATTCACATCAGACTTACAAATCTCAACAAAGCAAAACGACCTCGGGTCCAACACATCATATCTATATACAGACGACCTCAGGTCTAATTCTCATATAAAACAATACGACCTCAGGTCCACCTATACGAAACGACCTTTGGTCCAGCCAACTCTTCATTCAAAATGACCTTTGGTCCAATTCGAACACATCAAACGGCCTCGGGCCCAACTCAAACATATCAGGCGTATCAAACGGCCTCGGGCCCATTCTCTTTATATTCGTATCCATGCATATTTCATATTCATGATCATGGTCCCTTTTATTTAAACGGCCTTTGGCCCATCACGGTATTCAAACATATCCATATCCAATGACATATTCAAACGGCCTTTGGCACATCTTTGCATTCATATCTAACGGCCTTTGGCCCAATCGTTCATATTCGACGGCCTTTGGCCCAATCATTCATGTCCAACGGCCTTTGGCCCAATTCAGTTATATCAAACATATCAACGGAAAATGGCAAACGGCAAATGGAAAATGGAAAATGGCCTTAGGCCCAATTCAGATATATCAACGTATCAAACGGCCTTATACAAAATTAGGCATATAGAATACTCGTTCATATTTCAAATCAGCAAATCCATGAAGCTTATACAGAAGCAGCATTCGAAAAGTAACATACTTGAAAATATCTTTACTAAGATATTACTCACAATGTTCTGCCGGTAGATTTGCCCTTGAGCTCGACCCTACACATTACATAACACATATGGGTCACAAACGATTCAATCCGTTCGTAATTCATACATTCCTCTTAGGCTTCGCTCTTATCCTTTTCAGCTCATTTACAATGCTTAATGCATGCCTAAGAGTACTTAGAAATGAAAGAGAACGGAAAATGAAACACGAAACATCTTTACAAAATTTCAGAAACAAGATTCCCCGCTCGAGCGCAGGTTTCCCCGCTCGAGCGGACCCCCTTTGGTCTGCAAAAGTTTTGGTTGCATCAAATTTACGCTCGAGTATGCCTTGGACGCTCGAGCATGATTCTCCCCGCTCAAGCGGACGACAATGTCTGCAAAACTGCTGGGAGCTAGCATTTCACACTCGAGCAACCATTACCCTGCTTGAGCGGACATGTCGAATTCTGGGTTTTCCATAATTCTTTTTGAGCTTCAAACATGCATTCAATCCAATGTAACTTGCATCCCATGGTTCAAGGCTCATATATACATTTGCTAACATGCTATGAACACCAAATTTACTACATCATAAGCTCAAATCCCACAAATTAATTACATGCATGTCCCAAATTACACCAAACTTATTCCCAACACAACAAATTCATGCACCCAAACTCATTCTTCTATGGATTATATTTGCATGTGGAATCTAACTTCCATTTTCAACTCAAATGATGTAAATGATGATCAAGGGCATGAATTGTCATCAAGATTCTACATGGATTATATATTTCAAGCTCAATCATACAAATTCATGGCAATTCCTTTCATGCATGCAATTATTGACTTCAAATTTATTAATCACAACTCAATTCTTGTTCTTGATCACATAACAAGCTAGAGTTCACAAAATAACAAACTTATACTCATGAACTTACACTTAAACATTAATCTCATAGCAATTCCATGCATGCATGTACATACAAGCTTCCAATTCAACAAATACATTTCAATTTATGTTCTTGATTACCCAACTAGCTTGAATTATACAAAATTACCAATTCAAACTTATGAACTCATAACCAATTACTCACCTAGAGGCTCAAATCTTCCAAATTATGGTTAATTCTTGAGTGTAGCTTCAAGATCACCAAGTTCCTTAGTCAAATCTCTATCTTAAGCTCCCTCTCTCTCTCTAAATTCGGCCCTCTCTCTCTCTAGAGTACAATTTTCAGATATTGAGCTCAAAACAAAATGGTGAGTTCAAGAGTATATGGGTCTATTTATAGGCTGTCTTAATCACACTTCATTAACATTAATTAATTGAGCACCATTACATTAGTTTAATCTAATTAATCTGATCCAAATCAATTTTCAATTAAATTTTACTGTAGGCTCTAAAAATTACGCTAATCACAATGGCATAATCAATTTCGGTTTCTATGGCCGATAAGGTCTTCAATTTAAATTCTAAAGCAGATAATCAAACAGATTTTCCTACGGTAAACAGATAGAAATTCAAAGCCACATATATTCATATAAATGATACTCAAAATCATATCAAACACATAATCACAATCATAATCAAGATTAATTAGCATAACATGAACCAGGGTTATCATAACTCCATTGAAAATTAAGTTGGCTAGAGTGTCCAGAGTGAAAGTTCCGAAATCTTATATATATGGGTGTCAATTCGCTCGGATAAGAATTTCGTAAAATGGCAAGAAAATCGAAGTGTTTAAATAATGGTTGCTATTGAAGTGTTAACAAATGAGTTTTAGTCTCGTTTGGGATTGTTTAGATAACAAGTGACTATATCTGTGAGTTTATTAGAATAAATGAATGGAAATGGAATGAGATATTGATGTCATTATTGATTGGTCATGAAAACATGTCGGTTGGTTTTAAGTATTGAACATTTATCTAGTGCTTATATCTTAGTTAAATTTCATACATTGTGTTAGTATATCTCTATTGGGTTTTAGCTCACCCTACTTAGGAAACCATTTTCAGATACAGGTGATATGCCACCTCCTAGGACATAGCTTGGGAGGTCTAGGGGCTGAAGGCTCTGTTTTTGTTATATTTATGCTTTAATGTTTATTCAAGCCGAGGGCTTTATATGTAAAAGAGTTAAAACTCTTTCTTTTGTTGTAACCAAGTGATAACTTGAAAAGATGTAAGCCCGTAGGGCATTTACTTTGTTGTTGTTATCTTAATGTTATATGTTATAGATTCAGGATGAACATTTATGAATGTATAATGCATGTGATATCTCTTTTGTAATATAAACTCTAATGAATGAAGTATACCACTTTATTATGTTTATGGACCTTATGAATGGTTTATTGGTGTTATATTTTGGGGGCATTACAAAATTAGCAAAGACTTTTCCCAATTAATAACTAAAATAATACATCATGAGTTATAACCAAGTCATAATTTGTATATTATAAAATTTTATGTTGTTTTATTTTTTTTCAAAAAAAAAATATTTTGATACAAGTGGAATTCATGATTTTTGATAAATTTGATTAACGCGAATGAGGATTGATTTCAAGTTAAGAATACACATTTTTTTTAAAACTTTAAAATAAATTATTTTTATGAATCTATTTTATATAGGATCACATATAGTGACAAAAATTTTCATTAGCCATTAGCAAATCTGTTTGTATTTGACTTTCAATTATTAAAATTTTTTACACATAAAATATTAAGATTCAAAATTAATTTTTTATTTTGAAAATAAGTTCTCATGGCACTAGTCACCTATTAATTTTACTAATATAGTAGATTGGGCTTTAATTTGAACAATTATTCATATTAAAAAAAAAAAAAAACTTAAATGGAATTGTTCAACACCTCTCAATATATTTCAAAATTTGCTGAGATCTTTGTGGTTATGTTGAACAAGGTAAATGTTCTTATTAATACTCCATTTTCCTGGAACCTAATATAATTTTATATATAGAATAGAGTAACGTTAGGTATACGAAATAAAATATTATAAAATTGATTATGAAAGATTCTCCATCGTTGAATTATACATTCAAGAAAACATCATACACTAATCAAATGATGAAAAATCTTTATCATGATATCTTTTTCATGATTTCTAATATTATTCTATAGGATATTATGTGATATTAGTTAAATAGTGTTTTCAACAAATTAAGAACCACAAAACACATTTTTTGAGATTATATTTTGTCTCTCAACTATTAATTATAAATTTATTGAAAAAATTGATGTATAAATCAAAATTCATTATACATGTATTCTGCATCATACATGAAGCAAAAATTGGAATTCAAAATATAAGCAGGCTCATATAAACAATTTAACAAGAATTTGATAGACATGGCTCAAATACAACATAAGGGCAATCAATGGGTCACTTCAAAATACCCATTGATTCGCTGCCATTTTATGAATAAAACAACATGCTTTTTGTTGGAAAGCAAAATAGAAAAATATTGATAATGTAAGTGCATAGTTGGAATTAAATTAATATATCATGCAATTATTGCTTTTGTGGGTAAAATTTTAGCTACTCGTGTATATATATATATATATATAATCTTTTCTTCTACATTTAGTGTGCTTTCCCACCAGTTCCATGGCGACAAGAGAGTTATGTTAAGAATTTTAAATAAATTATTAAATTTTTTAACAAATTTTTTATATGAATGTGAAACCTATACATATAATTTGTATGAATCACACACATATATAAAAAATTAATAAAAAATTTAGTAATTTATTTATAGTTGATAGCATTTTGCTTCAAAGAATCATCTCCCTAATCTACTCCACTCTTTTTGGACCCATTATAATTAGAGATTGTTTAAAATAATCTAAATAAGTATATTTTTTATTTTTTTATAAAAAAATTTATAAAAAAATAAAAAATAATAATATAATAAAAAAAATAAAAAAATAAATTATTTTTAACTTCTCAAACTTGGCCTTACATCTTCTTTTTCAAGGTAACGCACTAAAATGAGTAAGTAATGACTATAGATTTGTCTTCACTTGCCCTCAAAATCCTCCATTATCATCTATAAAGCTAAAAGCTTAAAACCGATTCATATATGCTGCCAAAACAGATCCGCCACCTTGCAATCATGCAATATTTTCAGCACTGTTTTACTCTCTCTACCCTCTACTTTTCATTCGTCCTATCCTATACACCTTTTCTCCATTTCCCGGCGTTATCTGAACCTCCTCTCTCTCCAAAAGCTTTAACACGCTCTCTCTCTCTCTCTCTCTCTCTCTCTCCTTCGCACATTTCTCATGTTTTATTAGTATAAATTAACAACACCAAATTCAAAACAGTCACAGCTTTCTCTCTCTAAATGGGTCAGTTTTGGGCTCTTGTTTTCACTGTTCTTTTGCTCTGTTTCTGTGCCATCTCCACCAATGTCGACGACACCCAATTCCAAAGCTATATTGTCAGAGTCCGAAACGACTTGAAACCATCTGGGTTTTCCGTTGTGGAGGATTGGTACAGTTCCACCATTACAAGTCTCAGTTCATACCAATTAGACTCGAAAAAGTCCGAAACCACCCTGGGAGAAAAAAAGAGAGATTTCATTCATCTATACAAGACTGTTTTTCACGGTTTCGCTGCGAGACTCACAACAGAGCAAGCTGAAGAATTAGCCGAACGCCCAGAAATTCTCAGGATCTTACCAGACCGAGTTCATCAAATTCGGACGACTCGGTCACCTGAATTCCTAGGACTCTCGGCCAAGAACCCGACCGGATTACTAACCGAGTCCGATTCGGGTTCCAACGTCATCATCGGAGTATTCGACACTGGCATATCCCCAGAACGACGTAGTTTTCATGACGAAGGTCTCGGACCCGTGCCTTCTCATTGGAAAGGAGAGTGCATTGTGGGAGACAAATTCACAAAAATATCGTGCAACAAAAAGGTAATTGGAGCACGGTATTTCATCGATGGGTACGAAGCCAGTATGGGAGCAGTGGACCTCACCACTGACATCAAGTCTCCACGAGACAGCGATGGACACGGCACTCACACTGCGTCCACCGCAGCCGGGAGGGAGGTCGCCAACGCCTCCCTGTTCGGCTTTGCGAAAGGCGTCGCGATGGGAATTGCACCCAAAGCAAGAATCGCCGTGTACAAGATTTGTTGGAAGAGAGGTTGCTTAGATTCTGACATACTCGCTGCCTTCGACAAAGCTGTAGACGATGGTGTTAACATCATATCCCTCTCCATCGGCGGCGATGGCGGAGTGCCCTATAACATGGATCCGATCGCCATAGGATCGTTCGGTGCGATGGCGAAAGGAGTCTTTGTCTCGGCCTCCGCTGGTAACAGCGGCCCTCAGAGAATGTCGGTGACGAACGTTGCTCCGTGGGTGACTACTGTCGGTGCGAGCACAATTGACCGGAAGTTCCCTGCTGATCTTTTGTTACAAGATGGTACGGTGATCACCGGTGAGTCACTTTACAATGGCAAACCGTTTAGTAAAAAGACTTATTTGCCCCTCGTTTACGCTGCAAATGTCTCCAACGGCAATCAGATAATTGGCTTCCCTTCTCCGGCTGGCCAATGCATGCCAGGCTCGCTGCACAAAAATCTCATACGTGGCAAGATCGTGGTGTGTGATAGAGGTGGTGTTCCACGTGTCGCCAAGGGAGAGGCTGTGAGAATAGCTGGTGGGGTTGGGATGATCGTCGAAAACATGTCGCCCGTGGGAGAAGGTTTGGTCGCTGACGCACACTTAATCCCGGCCTTGGCGATTACCGAGTCAGCCGGTAACAAAGTTCGTGCTTATATAACCTCCTCGAAGAACGCCAAGGCCACCATAGCCTTTCATGAGACCCAAGTCGGGGTCGAACCGGCACCAGTCGTTGCCTCTTTCTCCTCAAGAGGGCCAAGTTCTGAATCCATGTATCTTCTCAAGCCCGACGTGATTGCGCCAGGTGTCGACATCTTAGCGGCTTGGCCTAACACTCTGGGGCCGTCAGAATTATCCTATGATACGAGGCGCACCGAATTCAATATACTCTCAGGCACATCAATGTCATGCCCGCACGTGTCTGGCATAGCGGCTTTACTTAAAGGGGCCCACCCTGACTGGTCACCGGCTATGATCCGGTCATCTCTCATGACCACTGCATACATGCAAGATCAAAATGGGAATCCATTGTTGGATGAGAGAAACAACAATGTATCAGACGTGTGGGGCACCGGCGCAGGACATGTGGACCCCGAGAAGGCCGTCAATCCCGGTCTGGTTTATGATCTAACGCTGAATGATTACTTGAACTTTCTCTGTGCCTCCTATTACAATGAGCAGGACATACAACATATAACAAATAAATCAATAAGTTGTAATAAGAAGCAACACAAGCCGTGGGAACTCAACTACCCTGCAATCACTGTTGCTTTCGATATGTCACCAAAATCGTCGAAATTTGAAGTTGCTGTTACGAGAACAGCAACTCTGGTCGGTGATGGTGGTGGGTTAGAAGCAACTTATACCGTAATTGTTACCGCACCAAGAGGTGCAAAGGTAACGGTTGATCCTCCAAAGATGGAGTTTAAAGAGAAAGATCAAAAGCAGAGCTATGTGGTTCGGATTGTGGCAGAGAAGAAGCCTCCTGGCTTAGTGTATACTGAGCTGGGTAAGTTGACATGGACGGATGGCAAACACCAAGTCACTTCACCTATAGTGGTGATGTGGCAGGACTAATCGTAGAGTTTTCAACCCATACACATTATATTGTGTACATTTTCTTTGTTGTAAGGTTTCATGTACCATAGTCAATATAATTCAGGGAAATTAAAAAATGTGAAAGCCTTGTGTGTGTACCACATAATGGTGATTGCAAGACAAAGCCGCCAACAACAACAATAACAACAACAAACAAACAAACAAAAATGAAGTGTGTCACGTATAATACTAAAGGATATGTGATTAGTTTTGAAGAAATATATGGATAAATAATTAGATGATAGCGTAACATTCATTGAACACATGACGATGCTAAATTTCTGCTCCACTTAACAATTTTTGTTGATTCGAAGGTTGATGAAACAGTTCGTTCTAGTAGGAATGGGTCAGACTGATCCACGCCCCTCAAGCCTATATCCGAATAATCAAGCCCACCAGAAGACCTGCACAAGAGTTTAACGGGAAACGGTGAGTCCCCCAGCGAACCCTCCGACGAGCAAGTTAGAGAGAGAAGTGGAATGTGTAGATAGATTAGAGATAGAAAAGCTTAACCTTCTTTATGTCTTTGACGTCTGCTTATATCATCTGGTAATCATTTCGTTGTCCCTTCCGACCTGTCACATTGGCCGAAAGTCTATGCTCTAGCTTGCCTTGTTCATGGTGAAGTCGTTCTATCCCGACGGAGAGGGGTTGTCGCAATAAATGCTGTAAGGAGTTTCATTAATGGCGATATGCAGTGGCAATAACTTTGCAGATCTTTGCCTGCTTATGTGGCTTGCCCTCCTCTTGACATGTGTCTTGATGTCATTGGTTCTTATTGCTACGTGGGGCTTCGGTAGTGCTGGGCCTTAGTATTTGAGTTGTGTATTGGGCCCACCCCCACTATCTATTTTTATATATATATTTAATATAACCCTTCCCTCACATATGTGCATCTCTCTCACATTTGCATCACTCTCCAGACTCTTTCTCTCTCTCAGACCTCTGTCTCTCTCTCTCTCTCAGACCTCTCTCTCTCTCGAAGTTGATCACAGTCCTCTCCCTCTCTCTCACCTGCTGCTCCACCCCACCACCGCCTCTGTCATTCCACCACCGCCTCTCGAAGTCGATCGCATCCGCCTCACTCACTCACGGACTCACGCAGACTCAGAACAGATCTGAAGAAACCGATCTGAACAGATCTGAAGCGAAGAAGCCCTCCGTCGATACACCACCGCCACTCGAAGTAGATCATCGCATCTCTCTCTCTCTCTCTCACGATATATATATATATATCTGTTGTTGAACACTTTTTTTTATTTTTTTTTTAAGTTGTTATATATATGTTGTTGATTGATGATTGTTGTGATCTGAAAAGTTGTTGTTGTGTGTGTGTGTGTTGAACTTGAACAGATCTGTTCGTCCATTATACAGATTTTTTTTTTTTTTTTTGTCAAACAGATCTACCGGGGATGTTTCGGGGTCGGGGAAACCCGATCCCCGTTAGGGGACGGGGACGGGGGAGGTGATGGGTTCCCCGCCGGGGATCGGGGGCGGGGACGGGGATTTTTCTACCTTCGGGGATCGGGGACGGGGAGGGTCATCCCCGGCCCCGCCCCGGCCCGTTGCCATTCCTATTGGTAGGTGATAGGGAGCAGCCTAACTTCTGGAGTTGATCAACGATGTGCGCATTAGATAACATTTTTCCTAAAATTGCTTGCATTGTTCTTGATAGGAAAGTTTTGATTAGTGACTACTTCCATTTTAATGGTGGCCAAGGTTTTTGGGACATGGCATTGCTAATGGATATTATAAAAGGGCGTCGGAGAAATTCTATTTGAATTCTTCAGTTGGTGGTCTTCGGGTTTCAAAACTTGGCGATGATCTTGTCTATGTAGAACACAAAATGAGTGTTTCCAGTCGCGTTACTTAATCGCTTTCTTAAAGACAATATTTGCACCCACCAATCAATGTGCAGAGGGAATTGTAACAAATTCGCGTTACTTAATCACTTTTCTAAAGACAATATTTGCATCCACCAATCAGTGTGCAGCGGGGGTTGCAACAAATTCGCTTCTTGGATACAATGAAGCTTGATCTAAGAATCAAGTCTATTAGTAACTGCACTGACGACAGTAGATCAAAGTACTCTTGATATAATATTAATTTCACAGCCTATTTATAGGCTTTGATGCATCTAATTAAGGCCAAGTTTGGGAATGTGTAAAAAAACTAAAAAGTCAAAAAGTTACTCAAAAAGTTAAAAAGTTAACACTATTCACCAAAAGTCAACAATTATGGTTGCACAACTCCCAATTCGAATTTTTCCCTACCAATCAATTTTTACAATTTTTACAATTTTTTATTACATATTTTTTCACAAAAAGTCAAAAAGTTAACCCAAACATCCATATTTTCAACCTCAATTTTTTAGTCTAAAAAGACAAAAAGTGTACTTATTTAGGACACCCCAAACAACCCCTAAGTGGACATGTCTCTTGATTATATTGGATCAGATTTAACCGTTGGATCAATAATCAACAGTGTAGATCAATCACACACCAAATAGATGCCTTGACTAGTCACACCTGATCGTGATCGGGTGCTATTTCATCTATACGATCGTACGCTTCTCCAATCAACGACTATGATTAGATCAAATCGTTCTAGATCGGATACGCAATCGTTCAATCGGACGCCACATCACCCAAGTCACATCGGATCCATGTTATTGCTCCAACTTGTCCAAAGCAAATAGAAAAGCGCCCTTATGGCGCTGATGTATTTGTGCAAAATACGCCATCAAACGCCACATAACCCACGCCATGCGCGGGTGTGCGAATGGTCCTTGTAGTGTGAGTGCATGCACACTAGCATTCATTCCATAATTCCATATTCAAAAGAATATTTTGTATAGCATTTTATTAAGTGTTTCATGTTTTCCTCTCTTGCTAATGTGAGACAAAATCTCCAAACTTATCTTTAGCTTTCCAAAGAAAAACTATGAAGGTTTTGAAAATACTCAAAAACTAAACTATTTTGAAAATTTCCCAACATTATATTCATTTTGTCTTGAGAATGAGGGAGATCTATTCGATGATCAATATCTTGGAATGACATTTTTAACATACGATTTTAAAAAACCATTTATCTACTAGTATTAATTAATAATTATTGTTAAATTATATAGATTTGCCCATTCTAGATTTAAAAATATATATATATATATATATATATATAAATGGTTGCATCACGTACACCTTTCTATCTATGGAACGTGGGATTCAATGTATAAAATTTAAAATTTTCAACAAAATATAACAAATAATTTTGGTCTTTCACAATTAGTGTTGACAAATGGTCTTTATATACATTTTTAATGTTATTTTTCACCTTTTATATCCATAGAAATTGATATTCTAGTTCACCCTTTATTTTTTAAAAAATTATTACAATATATGTTCGCCCCCATTTGAATCATGTGGTCGTCCTTACTTGCCTTGTTTGATGTTTTTTTTATTTTATTTTTAGATTGGACCTTGTTTGGTTGTGAGTGGGTATTCCCTCAAATAGTTGATGAACCACTTTATTCTTGGAGGGGAGTTCTGGTTGGGGGAGAAGAAAGAAGGCGTCGTGTTTGATGTGGTTGATTTGCCCGGAGAGAAATAGAAAAAATATATATATATATATATGAAAGAGGAAGCTTTTTGTGTTATCAGAAGTAGCTTTTCATCGACATTGTATAGTTGGTGTTTAGGAGTGGTTAATCCATCTTTGAACCTATTTTTGAATTCTTTTTTAACTAAAAAAAAAAAAAAACAAACAAACAAACATACAAACAAATGATATATGAGAAATTTGGTACACGGATTACACTCCTTTGACATAATTTTATTTTACTTATAGTAAAATAAAATAATCAATAATGTAAGTATAAAGAGTCAAAATTGTTAACTAAAAGCTCTATATAAACTAGAATTTACGAAGATAAATTACACTTTCACTCAAATTTGACTATGATTTTCTCGTGTTTTAATTGAAATAATTAAGTCCTTAGATACCTATTTCAATGCAATTTTCTCATTATTTACCTTTAAAAATTGGATATAAAATGCTCGCATGAGACAGGACGCGAGAATGTCTTAGGCCTCGTTTGGGAACAGGCTAATTTAGTAACTTTTTGGCTATTTGGCTAAAAAGGTAAGTAAAAAAAACTTGTATGTTTGGGATGACTTTTTAGCTAATTACGAAAAGATGTGCAAAAAGTAGAGAGAAAAGAGAATCTTTGACTTTTTTGTATGAGTTGTTGGTTTTTTGGCTAATTTAGTAATTTTTTAGCTAATTGGCTAAAAAAGTAAGTCCCCAAACGGGGCCTTAGAAACATTACGATGCGGTTTTCTCATTATTTACTGTTAAAAATTGGATATAAAATGCTCGCATGAGATAGGACGTGAGCATGTATTAGGAACATTACTGTGTGTGCTGTTTTCTGGTCACACTGCCAACCAGGTACTCAGCTAGAGAACATCGACAGAATAGATTGTGCCCGAACGACCTGTAACAGAAGGAAGAGACTCCGGCAGTGGTTCTTCCACTCGGGGGGACTCCGACGATCAAGTCAACTATCTCTCTAAGATAGCAAAAGTGCTTAACTAACTATTCAGAATATCAAAAGCGTACCTTAGACCCACGAGGGTGCCTTACTTTTATAACCAATACTGACCTGATCCCTATAGAAGTCTAGCTTTATGGACTCTGCCTCAATGCTAATCTTGGACTCCCAGTTAGATTGGGATAAACCCTCTAACTGAAGTTCTCTCTCATTTTAGGACTCTTGTCCCTTATCCGCTTATCCCGAATTTCGGTATCTTCACCTTGGCCACGTGTTGTCATTCAAAAATTATGTCCCCACAATTGCCCCCTAGGTTCTATTACCTCGGTATTCTGAGGTGATGGAACATATATCGTTTCTTCCATTTAGCACGTCGGCTAAGCTCGCTTTGTCCTTCATTACCGAGGTCATCATTCATCGGCTCAATACGACCAAGACTTAGTTTATTTTCATCAATGCTTCGAACCAATAACCAAGTTTGTTCAAGTTTCTCAACCGAGATCGTCCCCCTACCTGAGGTCTTGTTCCATTAAATCAAGAACTCCAAGAGTTTTAACACGCGTATGAGCTGTTACGCATAGTATTTCAACCAT